TTTATAATTAAATTTAATACGATTAGTAAAGTTTAATGATCATGTGGCAGTTTAACTCATGCAGTGTTGTAGTCAAATGATTTACTCGAGCTCTTGTTAATTACAGGACATCGTAAGATATATTAATTCAAGTCAGTTTAAGATTATGTTCCTTGGCGTTTTATAAAAAATTAGCTATATATGTTCATGTCCCATTTAACATCCAATTCTAACCCCACGTCACGATATTATCGAATGTTTAAAAGTAAGACATGCAAAATTTAGTGCGCGCGCTCTTTCTCTTGTATAATTATTCGGTATTTTAAAGATTTATTAGTCTAACTGATCGAAATACATCATGTATAGCTCATTAAATGAGGAAACACTCCAGCTAAAATTTTCTCTATTTTTAAAGCTCGAACTAGAGAATTCTAATAAAGTAGGGAGGATTCTAGCCGTCCATCATACCACAACTTTTAGCGATGAAAGTCTAGTGCTCGGGACACCACAAATCGATCTTAACTATATGAAAGAAGATTTTTCTAATTTCCATACCATCTTTTATGAATTATTTATTTACTCTTTTAATTTTGTTTAACATTAAAAGAAATGTTCGAATTTATATATTCTTGTAGTATTCGATTTATCTTATATTTTTCCTCTTTTTACCTTCCATTCAGGAGAGAGCGCACTAAATGGTTGTCCAACATAGCTCTAAGCCTCTAACATTTCCAAAATAGACAAAAGGCTAAATTTACCCCTAAACTATACTCCCTCTGTTTTGAAAATAATGAATTTTGTTATAAAACAATAAAAGAAGAATCGCCAGTTCAATATCTTCACATAGAGGTGAAAACTCTTGCTATCATATTATCATGCATATAGTTATAGCAAGATACATTTGTGCACAAATTGCACTAAGGATGTAGTACTTCATGACCATGAATTCTATATGCTTTAAGCGATTTAAATCCTTCAAGGATTGTTAAGTCATATAAGCCATATAATAGACTTTAGATGCATATCAAGTTTTCATGTCGTGCTAGACATATAAGATATCGAAAACTGATTGCACATACCATTGACTTTATACTTTCAAGTGTTTGAACTACATGTTCAAAACTACATGTCTTTCATATGAAACCAATTCTATTTGAATTGTTTCTTCAGACTTAAGATCCTCATATCTATATTTAGCGCTATCATAGATGTCGTCGATAAACATTTTATATCAGTTTCAATATTTTTTCATAAAGACATAACATAGAGATCTCTTCATTCATATTTTCAGGTACCTGAATCTCTCTTGAGATTTTATGAAGTGTTATGTCATGTGATCTTCTAGATCACTTGCCTCCTTTATTATGATCATTTATATCATTTGCTCATCTTCTTTATCAAGAAGTTTATTTGAAACCGATTTGTCTATATGCTTTAAGCATACCATAGACTTTGTCCTTCTTGGACTTATTCTAATAGGAGCATTTGCAGTGAGAATATAGTTACTTTCTTTGGGTCAGCAAATGCGTCTGACATGCTTTGCAATATATTGCAGATGAATTATCCTTTTATGAACTTCAAGTTCATATTATTTTATTCGAGGATCTAGATGTACAAATGATAATTCAATCCACTTAACTTTTTCTTAACTGTTTATCACGTCTCCCCCTCATGTTAGAAAAACTAACATGCTTCCTCAACTTTGGGAACCCATCTTTGTGCGTTATGGTGTTAATCAAAATATACACCGCACATCAATAATAATGAGATGGAATTATTTGGTTCCTCACCCTGAAATCACTTGTGAGGGTAATATACTTTGGTATATAACGTATATCAAACTAATATATATAACTTTGTTCTCATAAGCAATAGTTTAGCTATTAAGTGGAGGCACTCAATAAATCATTTTGCTAAACCAGCTGTGATGTAGAGCAACTTATCAAGATGAACTTCTTGAATAGAAAATCTGGAATATGCTCTAAATTAAATTATTGAGCAAGTTACCTCGCAAACACCATGTTGTGGGTTAATAATAATCGCACATGTAACCAACTCATAGATGTATCTTATGTGGTATACATAGCAGGTGAATGGGCCCATATTCACCTTTGATATTTCCAACATTCATGGGATTCAATCCCAATTTTAATTGGTCTATTAATTAATGAGAACAAGCAATGTAAGAGAATTCGTAAAGAACTTTTTAGTTCTTTAATATTTACCCATGTGAATTCTCTTTTGTTTTTGCACATCATACTTGAATTAACATGGCTAAACCAATTATGCCAACTGGATAAATTATCAATATTGATAAACTTCAGGTTTACACCATGATGTGTGCAATTATGAATAAACTCCAAGTTTATTATGATATGGGTTTTTATATCAATAAATATCCACTTCATTGTGGTATTCTTTTGTTTATGTAGTACAAATTGGAGAATAAAGCGGGTAGCTTTTCACATACATATTACCCCGCTACAAGTTGTAGTAATAGAAGATATTAAATCTTTTCTTTATTTCTAGTCTCAATATAATCAACCGCTTTCGCGTATACTTTGGAAACTGAATAAGTTTCTTTGAGACTTACTACAACACAATACCTTATTGGTAATTAATCGTGTTTCTCCAAAATAGTATAATTGGCTCTTGCAGAGTTCTCAATTAGTTTTGTAGTACCACATATTCATCAACACTCATATGGTGAATATCTCTTTTAAAGAGAAAGTTATACCATTATGGTTATGGTCAAAATTATATGCAAGATCTGTTTCTTGCATTACCGTTGTCTTTTAACAATCACAATGCCAAAATATTTTGGCGTACAATAGGTACGTGACCAATGACCATTCATGCCATAATAATGACATTATTTTCTTATATCATCTCAAACCTCCTTTTAGAGGTGAGTGCGGTATATTCACTACCACTAGCACGTTCATATTCTTTGAAGAATAAATATGTATCCATAAATCAGATGTTGTCACATTCACATCATGAATGGACCATAATCATTTATATGTGCTTTACAAAATCTCATGTCAAATCGATGACAAATATTTTTCATAGAGTGAAAGATTATTTTGAGAATCCTTATTGTTCTCATTACCATAAATGATGACGATTATAATTTCGTCTATTGCCACGTCCATATCCATTGATACATTCATAGTAATAATTTTGTCTTCTTCCATACTTATCACATACTGCTATCACATTCTCTTAAGGGAATGAGAATGAAGCAAATTCAATGGGAAGGGTTTTTAATTCTTTGCCCACAATCATACATGAATTTGATCATGGCGAGGCATAGAAATTTTACCACTTCAGGTGGTTATAATTTCTTACAAACTCCATTAGAGTTATAATCAAACTTTGTTGGCTTTGCTTGTATATAAAATTAAATTATAGAATGTCAAGAATTTAAACGAGAAAAGTAAAGTAAAATACTTACCTTAAATCCAATATTTAATCACAAATAAAGTACATGGAACAATTGACAATCATTATGCTCAATCCCAAAGCTTCTACTCAATTGGTTAGAGTCTCGTGCTGATAACGTGTTATAAAACAATAAAAGAAGAAGAATAGTATTGCAGAGAAAAGTAGAGAGAGAGTTGTTATTGATATTGGATGAATTATAATGGAATAGAACCCTCTATTTATAGGGAGAGGGTGACTTAGCCACAAAATAATAAACCCTAGAATCTCTCTAAATATAGACATTCACCATAAATAAAATTCTATTTATAACAAATTTATTAATATTTGGAGAGTCAAACAAGATTTTTTTTTTGTTCTACTTTTTGTAAATAACTTTTAAATATTTTGAATTGCTACTATTATGACTTATAATTTTATGTAATTTCGGAATTTCTAAATATTATTTCAAAAAAATTTAAAAATCTATGTATGGATTCTTACCGAAATTGAGCCAACTAATTAACCCTTGGGCTCCGAAAAGGCTCAAACAAATTGAATCAGAGGCAGTATATCAAATTGGTGTATATGTATGTATCCTCTGTCATGATTTGACACTTGCCCTGGAACAATTGAAATTATTTGCAGATAAAAATTAGATACTTTTTCACAGACCAATTAGTCCGATTTGGTGAAACCAGAGGGAGTATATCATAGGGATATTATATCACTTTTAGCCCGCACTAAAAATAATTTATATTTAGTAGCCGAAAGAGTGTTTAAGACTTGTAATTTTTGTATATAACATACAGAATGTATATATATACAAAAAAAATATACAAATTATATATGTTTTTCGGCTATTATTTTACAACGGCTATAAGTGTCATTTTTCCTATATCAAATTGGTCTAGTTTTGGTGAACCCGGAGGGAGTTTCTAGTGTTATTTAAATTACCTAATATTATAGGACGTCAATTTAAACTATTTAAATTTTCATATTAATAAATAAAGTTTTTGACAACAATATTCAAGTTAGTCTATGCATCGCAAACACATTGTTAATATTTCGTTAATTAACTTGAAATAATCCTTACCGGTATAAATAAATATTTCTAACAGATCATGTTCATTTTGTGAATATAGAGACATTATGTCTAATAAGAGAATATTATAGCTATAAACAATATTACGAAATTAAGAAACACAACTCTAACTTTTGCATACTTGAATCTATATTTTATAACTCACCGGACCAAAAATTTCTTCCAAATATTCACTAACCTTGAATATGCAACTATATTAACTTATCATATGACGTACTAAGTGATTAGTTTATTAAATAAATTAAAGATCTGTCATTAACTTATGGTTTTAAGCAACCTTTTCCATTTAGATATGTGTTATATGGTAGAATTTAGGAGCAAACGCATCACTTATAACTCTACAATATAAGGACAGAAAATTTGCGCTTGTTAAAGGAATAGTCATATAGTGCTCCTTATATTAGAGCTGTAAACTAAGTTAGTTTAAGATAATAAAATTCTGATCAGAATTATGTTGTCAGTTTGACCATTTTAAAAGCAATAGACAGTAGAATTACATCGCACTTTGGACAATAACAAAGAGACACACAAACCATGCCTTTGGAATGAAAATTTGGAAATACAATACATCGATCTGATATTTTGGAATTGCAAGCAAATGTGAAAATTAATGAAGAGAAAAGAAAGTAGCTTCAAGTATTTGAATTGTGATCTCTTTTAGTTCCAATTCAAATTCTTGATCCGCTGGCCCAAAAGTAAATGCAGTAGTGATAAACAATAAGGGACGTTGGTACGCGGGATAAAGTGTGGTACTAAATTTATTCTGTGTTTGATTGACAGTATAAATTTATACCGTCAACCAAACATAGTATAAACTTTGTCCCAAACTTATTCCTGGATATCCCATCTTATACTATCAAACGTGGTATTATTTAGTTCCACCTCCCAGATGGGATTATTTAATATATCTAGGGATATAATCCTGGAAAAATTTAGTCCGCATACCAAATGACCCTAAGGAATAACGGTTACAACTTTGAAATGACTTGAGGCAATGGCAAACGAGCTAGAGAACGGTGCTTGGTGAAGCAAGCGTGCTAGGGCTAAGAAGAATAGAAGAGCACCATGCAAAAGAAGCGGGCGATAGAGGGAAATTAGCCAGCGGGCTACATGATCCGAAAATATTGTCTGATAGATTTCGGGGCGCTATATGTGATCTTTCTTGCGCTTCATTTGTTGAGTCATTACAAGCCGCACTAATTGATTCAACTTGGTTGTTTGAGGAGGAAGAAGGACGAAGGAACTCTCGCCATTCTGCAGCGATGCTGTTTCTTGGCAATGAAACTGGTGAGAGATCAAGTGGAGGAGGAGCCACATCTTGTAAACGTCTCGAACTGGAATTACTAGAACTAGAGCCGGAGCCAGAGCTAGAATTACTTGAGCTGGATTGAAACTCAGGCGCTGCAGTCAGCATTTGGACAACTTCCATGAAATTAACCGGTTCGACTCTGTAGATTTTAGGAGGTGTTGGTGGCAATGGCGCGATTGGTTGTTTCGTCATTGGTTTTAATGGGAGCTTACGAACTCGATGAAGTGAGGAATGATATGAAGGTAATGGTTTGTTTTTCTTTACTTCTTGTGAATATGTGGAACCTGGAATAGAACTAGAGGAAGAAGAATTAGAAGAAGAAGAAGAAGAAATAGCTGCATATGAATAAGAATCCATTTTTATGTTCAAAATTATGTTGCAAGTTTGTCTTGATAGGAAACTTTACTAAGAATACATTTTGCGGCTATTGCTTTTGCTTATATATATAGACAGAAGGTGACAAACCTGAGCAACTTGTCTTAAAATAATAGTACTTTATAAATAGAAGATAAGATTAAAATAATAAAAAGAAGGAAAAGAAGAAGAAGGGAGAGATAATCAAGACAAGTTTATTTGACGGAAACAAGTTTGTCTTTAGCGTCGGCTAAATATGGCTGAACACGATGTAACATTACAACTTGTCACCACCAAAAGATGTGGTGCAGTAGATGGGACTATTCTTCCCTTAACCAGAAGTCTCGAGTTCGAGTGTCCTAGGTATGGAAAAATCCTTAGTAGGGAGTGCTTCCTCCCGAATGGGGCCCTATGCGGCGCAAATCCGGATATAATCGGGCTCCAATACGGGTACCAGACAACGGGTGAGAAATCAAAAAAAAAAAAAAAAACCATTACAACTTGCCATGTCTATCTGTTAATTAGTACTGTTCTTATTTGACCTCTATTATAGAATTTCCTCCATTATTGTTTTTTTCTTACATATATAGTCCCTTTGAATCGATCTGTACTATCTTATAGTACTAAGTCACAAAGTGTTGATTCAACATCTAAGTTTTTATATGCACTATTATTTTCGCACTTATCTGGGATTTGTTTACTATGTAGGCGCGCGCGGTAGGCGTGTTCAATGTAGAAGCTATGGGTCTAACTGAAATACCCATAGCTTTCACTTCTATTTTTTATTTTTTCCAAAAAAATTATTAAATATGTATAAATAATAAATTTTGAACTCATTAAATTAAATGGGATGCATCTGAACCCATAAAATTTAAATCTTGAATCCGCGTCTGATTTATTGATGGTGTAATTAAGCTAATTGCTTAGCCGCCAGGCCCTCGGGCCTCAACCTGATCTGCTCCCTATGTCATCTCTATCCTCTATGAATAAAGTTGCAGCCAAGTTTAACTGTTATATACGAATATATATATACATTATCAGGTTACTTAAAAAATAGTTGTATATGACTGTTCAATATAAAGAGCTATAAGTGACATGAAAAGTAAGGTGGATTACCTACAAGGACATGCTTAAATACATGTATCAATGTATATAAGTTAAATCCTAAGAAGTCGTTTGATTTGACTATTAGTTATGTAGTAACTAATAATGCAGACTTGTACAACAATAATATACCTAGTGTAATTTTATAAGTTAATATGCTATTTCCGGTAGACCATCGGCTCCAAGGAAAGCATAATCACAACAATTGCAAAATGCAAAGATTGTAATGTACGAATTAGTAAATCCGGATCGGATTGCGCGAGAAAGTTCCATATTGGTAGGGTAAAGCACTCCATAACAAAGGCAATTGCATACCCAGAAATCGAACTTAAGACCACCGGTTAAAAATGAAGAGATGCGTTTTACTCAACCACAACCATGGTTGGTTCTCTCTCTTTGAGTTAGTACCCTATCTTTGGACAATGTAACTGTACAGTCTAACATTTTTAATGTTTAAGGAAACAATAGATTCATGTATGTAGTCGATTAAATGTCTAGAGAGGGACAGTTCAGTTTGTTGACGTTATCTGTAATATAATTTGAATTTGATTATAAGGTACAACGAACAGTCAAAACATTTTTATTAAAATGATTTGGGTAATTTCTTGTACTTATGCCTACACTCTATAGTTCAAAATTGAAAACAGCCAATATAAAGATTCAGCTTGTTGACTAAATCAAACACAATTATTTTAAATGACAATGACCGAAGAGAAATGCCTACATTATTGTTCGTGTGGCCAGTTGCCATCTTAAAAATAATTTCACTATTATTAGTTGCTAAAGAAATAACATTTTCGTATTGATTACGATGTTTAGGAATATACCAAATGCTCTGACTTCAAAATTATGCACAGTAACTTTTATGTAGGATTTGAATATGCTAAACTTTATCTCATAAAATTTTATAATTAATGTCCGTACTAATTCATACTCACCCAAAAGATTAGACATTTCAATCTCATATACTCTAAATCTTATAATTCCTTTGAGAAAATATTTAACTGTCATTCTTGAATTATAATTCGAAGTAGAGTCTTGGAGCAACGATAAAATTGTCTCAGTGTGACCTATAGGCTACGGATTCGAGTCGTGAAATCAGTCGTTGATGCTTGTATCAGAGCAGGATGCCTGCATCACACCCCTTGGAGTGCGACCCTTCCCCGGGCCTTGCATGAACACTGAACACTATACATATCGTGCACCAAACTACCCTTCCTTTTCTTGAATTATTATTTGTATTGTTACCGTGTGACCTATAGGCCACGGGTTCGAGCAGTAAAATCAAACACTAATGTTTTAATCAGAGTAGGCTGCCTACAGCACGCCCCTTGGAGTGCGACCCTTCCCCGAGCCCTGCGTGGACACTAGATACTTCGTGCCTACCCTTCATTTTCTTGAATTATTATTTGTTTTGTCTCCGTGTGGCCTATAGACCACGGGTTCAAGCAGTGAAATCAACCACTGATACTTGTACTAGAGTAGGCTGTCTACATCACACCCCTTGGAGTGCGACTCTTCCCCGGGCCCTGCGTGAACACTAGATACTTCGTGCACCGGAATGCCCTTCATTTTCTTGAATTATTATTTGTGTTGTTCCGTGTGACCTATAGACCACGGATTCAAGCAGTAAAATCAGCCACCGATACTTGTATCAGAGTAGGCTGCCTATATTACGTCCCTTGGGGTGCAGCCTAGCTTCCCCGAATCCTGCATGAGCGCTGAATATATACTTCGTGCATGTCACGACCCGGATTTCCCACTTTCGGGAGTCATGATGGCGCCTACTAATAGGAGCTAGGCAAACCAATTAATTTAATACCTCTCTTGACAACATCAACAATATAAAGAAAGACGAGACAATTAATATAAAAGCGGAAGTCTCAAAACATAAGTAACTGAAACCAAGTACGGAAGCTCAAATACATCTCTACCCAGATCTGGTGTCACTAACTCACGAACTTCTACAGAATGCTAAATACAAAGTCTGAATAAAAACACAGTACTTTCTGATCCGATACAAAGGAAATCAAACGAAAAACAAGGATAAGAGAGACTCCGGGCCATGCGGACGTCAACAAGGCTACCTCGGGAATCTCTCGACTGAAGTCAGCTCCCAATGCTCCTACTGCTGTCCAAAAGCTCCTGCTCCGGTACTGTGATCTGTGCAAAAAGATGCACAGAGTGTAGCATCAGCACAACCGACACCATGTGCTGGTAAGTGCCTGGCCTAACCCCGGCGAAGTAGTGACGAGGCTAGACAGGACTACCAATCAACCTGTGCAGATATATATATATATACAAACACTACAGAAATAATAGCGGAAAGTAATAATTAAGACTGGGAGGAAAACATGCTTTTGGGGATAACATATAAAATAGAACGGTAGGAATAAATAAGGAAAACTACAACTAATCTCTTCTAACACAGAATACGTGGTCGGCGTGCCATACGATCCCATTTCATGATATATAAGTGGTCGACGTGCCACACGATCCCATTTCATAATATATAATGTGGTCAGCGTGCCACACGATCCCATTTCATAATGTATAAGTGGTCGGCGTGCCACACGATCCCATTTCATAATATATAAGTGGTCGGCGTGCCACACGATCCCTTCTCATAATATATATATATATGGTTTCCCGGCAAGGGAACAAGTATCAATTCAACTATCTCGGCGAGGGAGAATACAAGTAAACAGCTAGTTCCCGGCAAGGGAGCAACGACAATAACTTACACGTCCCGGCAAGGGAATAATTACATATTTTTCTCTTTCTTTCATTTCTTACTTCCTAACCAAGTCATAATTCGATCCAACGCTCCAAGGAGTTTACAAGTCATATTTCCTCTTCATACTGTTCACATTATATAGCAACCATCAATTAAACAAGGAAGAGTCACTACAGAATCCCAAATAAGCACAAATAAGGACTCACGGTCATGCTAGACATCGGTGTATAGATACTCGTCACCATGCCTATACACCGTACTCCACATTTAGCAATTAGCAAATAATACTCTAATCCTATTCCCTCAAGCCAAAGTTAGATCAAACACTTACCTCGAATGCTCCAAACTCAAATCAAGCCTCTAGTATAGCTTTACCCCTCGAATTCGGCTCCAACTCAGTCAAATCTATGAAATAATGACTTTATAATATCAATAATAGCTAAACAAACTAAACCCAAAGCCTAAATATAGATTTCTAAGCTTTCTTCCCAAAATTCCAAAAATCGACCCCGGGCCCGCTTGGTCAAAACCCGAGGTTCGAACCAATTCCATGTTACCCATTCCCCCACGAGCCCAGATATACAATTTGTTTTAAAATTCGACCCCAAAACGAGGTCTAAATCAAAGAAAATCGAAAAGCCCTAATTCTACCCTTTTTCCCCAATTCCAACCCTAGATTACATGATTTAGGCTTAGAAACTCATTAATTAATGAAGGAAGATGAAGGAAATGAGTGGAAAATTACTTACCCAAATGGTCTTGAAGAATGCGGGCTTCAATGGAGTCCTAGAGCTTGGGGAAGAAGAGAGCTCGTGTGAAAATTTAGTGAAACCCGTATCTACTATTTTGAATGTTTAAAAAAATCACTGGGCGGATTTACTCTATGCGTTCGCGACAGAGGTGTCGCGTTCGCGAAGAAGGGAGGCTGGGAAGCATCGCGTTCGCGATGGGTATGATGCGAACGCGAAGAAGGAAGCTGGGGGGGTCCAGGGTTTGGCCTATGCGAACGCGAAGGGGGGGGGGGGTTAATACGCGAACGCATTGAAGGGGTTATTGGAACTACGCGAACGCGGGAAGCGTACCGCGAACGCGAAGGAGGTGAGCACCACAGGCAGTGCGAACGCGAGCCGAAGGCCGTGATCGCGAAGAACAAAAGCCTGTGCAAAAATTGCAGAAAAATCTGATCCTTTTTCCTAAGTTCAAAACACCCCGAA